CATTCAATGTGGAAAAGTTTTTCGTGTGGCCATAGACATTATTTTTATTAAATTTAACATATTTTTAACAGTTCCAAAAGTAGTAGTTTAGCTTTACATAAGTTTATTGATGTAAGATGAGATTTTCGGTAATTTTTGTTACAAAAAATGTAAGCCAACTACAAATTGGACAATGTCCATATTTAAAATGTCTCATATATAAAATTGAAAAAAAAAGAGAAAAGAGAAGACCCTAGTCTTCGCATGATTAATTTTTACCGAGGTCTAAAACTCAACCAAAAAAAAATTAACTTTTGAATACATTTTTGGCAAACTTTAATCAACCATGTAAGGGGGTGAGAACAAGATTTCATTTTTTGGGCCACCCTACACCTTTTCTTATTTACAAAAAAATGTCTGAAAAATACTACATGTAATATTTAGAAAATATAGTTTTTGGTTGTTTTGTATTTTCAAGAGCAATAAAAAATATTAAAAATCTGCAGATACTTAACTTAAGTTAACTTTAAATTCAATGAAAGTTGTAAATTTATTAGAAATGTTGAAGTTGAAAGGGTTTATATATCCGTTTACAAACTAATACTCAAAATGGGCCATATCCTTTGTGCATCAGGTGCATTTCCAAAGGAAAGTAAACTTTTCTCCACTGGGAACCGAGAGAATAGGAGAATAGGAGAATTGGAGAAGGAGAAGGAGAGGAAGAGATGGCCAGGGAATCGTTGACAGGAAGGGAAGCCAAAACGAAACGGCACCAACAAATTACCCGACCCATAACCACAGTGCAATCAATTGTAGTGGTCCAGAAAACACATCCGAGCGAGTCCGAAAAGGAATAGGAATGGGAATGGGAATGGGAGTTGGAGTCAGGAGTCGGGAGGAGGCAGTGCCTCCAAAAGCACTTTATATGCCGAGGTAATGGCGCCTAATAAACGTCTTCACTCGAGTGCGCAGCCAGCCACCCACCACCACCCCTTATGGAACCACCCAAAAAACCACCCACTCAAACAGAGAGAGGTGTGTGTTTGTGTGTGGGAGAAAGGTCGAGCAAGTAATTATGATTTATGTCGCTTTGGAGAATGTGCAAGGCGTCTAATTGCGTGGGCGGGCGTTGGCTACAATTACGCCCATCCCCATTCTCCATCATCCAATCCCCTGCTACCCTGCCCTGTCCCCCAAATATCTCTGCTATTATGTCAAGCTGGCCGAAAATAGTGGAAATCCTACACGAATGTCGGATAAAGTAATTACAGGATGCTCATTTTCTCCCTCCGAGTCTGGGTCCGAGTTCGAGTCCCACTGGTAAGCCGAAACCAGAAGAAACACAGGACAGGACCGTCGAGACGTGCAAATGTGTCCTGATGTAATGCATGCTAATGCGACACCATCCTTCTTTAACCCCCCTTACTTCCACTCTGTCTAATCCTTGATCATTAAAATAATTCAACTTGACCCGAAAGTAGACCAGGATCAGGACCCTGGGCGAAGATAGAGGATTCCTGGAATACTTTTGTGGCCGCATAATGCTAATGAATCGGTATGCCACCTCCACCAACTCCTTCACAGATCCATTTCCCCACACCCCCCCTCCCATTTCATCCTGCCACAAAGGATTTTCTCTGTCGACGACTGGGGACAATTGAAAAATCAGTAAACGATGCCGCATTGTCAACGCCGCATTTTCCCTGGGGAAAACTGGACAGAGCACAGTCGTCATTCCATGAGTGGGGCATCATTCGCACTTAATTAGTAGAATGGCCGATTTAAAAGTGGGCGTGTCCAATCAGCTGTGGAGCTTAATTACAGCTCCGACTTTCACTAGAATTTCGAATCGTAGTCGACCAGATGCGGGCTCTTAAAAACCATCGGATGCCGGAAGAATTGAAAAGGGGAAATGAATGCAAAATAGACAGGAAAAATCATTCGCAAATAAGACCAACTCGAAAGCTGTTTAGGGTTTCCTTTTGAAAACTGAAATTCTTTATGTGATTAGGCCAGAAAGGGAATGAGAGTGATGGCAAATGACAGAACTGGGTTTATATGATTTGGAACAGGAAAAGTGGGAAACACAGCTGACATGAAGAAACAGATTAGTCCAAAACAGAAGGATAAGTTGGGAAAATATAATTCATCTGGATATTTTTTCAAGGTTTCTTAGAGCTAAGCATATTAGGTTAATCACTTCTTAACTTCAGCTGTATCTAACCATCATTCAGCAGCAAAGCTTTGACCAGAAAAAACATATACCAAGTCAGAGCTTACCCTCAGCTTTTTAAAGTACAGCCACAGATACAAAAGAATTTTAAAACCCTGTAAAGTATCTACTTAAATCCAAGAAAGTATCTTGCAACCGAAATGCTGCTTTTAAAAAGTTACAACAAGGCAAGCAACAACTGGAAAGCAGTTTAAGAAAATGAAAAGTACTCGAATCTACTGAACAGTAAAAGCAGAGAATCCGTCTTAAAAGTAACTTAAGCTGTGGAAAATCATCTTTTGCTACTTAGCCACCGAATACAACTTTAAGCTAACAAAAAGCGTGAAAGTTTGTGCCGGCGACGAAGAAGGTTTTTTTTCCTTGGTTTTTCAGCAATTGCTCTCTATAAAACTATAAGTTTGATAGCACAGATAAATTGCACCTAAAAATATATAAAATCCCCAGTGAGATAGTGTCCCCCCTCCTTAAGATAAAGTATATCAATTTATACACTTTTGGATTGTACGTAACATATTTCCGGCCATTTAACGTGAGCGTGTAAGCTGCAGATCCCTTTTTTGCTAACTGGATTATGTGCAATCCAAAATGCTTGACGGTTCATCAAGGAGGCCATCAAGAAATTAGTAGAAAAACTCGAATAAAAATTAGCTTAGCTGTCGTAAATTCCGGGACACAAAGCCTAATCGGGCGGCTAATCAGGCGGAGCCATCAGACCATCACCCCATCAGGCCATCAAAGGCGGTCCGAATCCTTTGGCCCAAGTGCGGGTCTGAAGTGAAAGGCTTGCCGAAGGAGCAGGCACTAAAAAACCCAAAACGGAGGAGGCTCCAACTGCGTGCCAGGACATCATTATGCTAAAATATTGCTCGGCGGTACTTAATCAACACAAAGGAGGCAATGGGCGGATGGCACGCCCCTCTGTCGATTTAATTGCCCCACAGACACTTCAATGTCAGCATAAATTAAATTTTGATTTCGCTGCTCCGGCGACTGCGGCGTTTCTAATGAAATTCCGCACGCCAAATTGCACAGCCCTCAGAATGGGGCATCCACATGGCACATGGCTCGTGCCTCGTGGCTCTTGGCACACCTCCCATCTTGGCAGCTCCTCCTCCTCCTCCTCCAGATCCTCCTGCTTCCCTAATCTTCCTGCCCCTTTGCAACTCACGATGGTGATGATGATGAGCTCATGATGTGGCGGCCTGAATTGAGTTGGAGGCCTAAGTTAGTCGTTGCTCTGCCATTGTCGCATCAATTAATTTCAGCACGAGCCACGACCAGGACTCCAACCACTCTTATCGGGCAGCTCATCACCATCAGTCACACTGGAAATTAGCTGGGATTAGTCGGACTTCCCTTTCAAAAATATCTACATATAATTATTCTACTTGTATATCGCATATATATGTACCTTTAAAATAGTTTGTACTGTTATTGAATTAAAATCGATTGATGTTTTATACTATATAAAAGTTTGTAAGTTGTATATGTGACTCAATGGCGGATACAGAGTTTGGTTGTGCGGGGCAGGGATATCAAAAACAAAATTTTTGAGAAGAAATAAGATATTTGGAAAAAAATAGGTACATTTTACATACATTTTTTAAACCGAGACGGGGGATCTATCCCCTTCCCATAGATCGGCGAATGATATGACTGTATGTTTATCTCGTAAATATTGTTTATTCTATTTTTCAACATGTCTGAATTTTTTTAAACAACTCTTGTCGCTTGATGTTTGACAAGCTTACTGGATTTGTTTTAAAGGCCATGGCATCCTAGAGATATATTTGATATATATGAATTTATTACATAAATCTTGTTTGGGTTGCAGTGTCTGTTAGTAGTTAGAAAAAAATCAAGCTAGTGTCATAAAGTCCTAATCCATTTTCTCTAATCAAAGCTAAGATTCAAATTAATTTTTGGTTTTAAACCATTTCAAGATTCTCTTTAATGTTAGGTGCATTTAAAGGTATTTGCTTTTCTCGCAGTGTACAATTTCCAACCTCGCCACCACAACAACAGTTGACAATTGTATGTATGTGCGGAAGCGTTGTGGAGGCGTGGCACGTAATGAGCTTAGCACTGGCCAAAACCTAAGGTGGCCCAGTCAGAGTCCATTATGGCCGAGTGGCCCCCATCTTGCGGACATTCGAGGGGCTTAAGAGGCGGGTAAATGTGGGTGATGGTGACACGGAAGGGATTTTAAAGTCGCCTGATTAAGGACGAGTCAATTTGAGGTGGAGACCTCGACAAACTAAAACTGATTAGGGACACGTGTCGCTCAGTCGAAGTGGATGTTTCGTTTAATTTATCAACACTTTAAGGTGTTCGACTTTTATTCAACACTAGACCTTGTGATTTTATATCGATTGCTGGGCATTTAATTAATGGTATTTTGCTTACGGAATGAGAGAATTGATTTTAACAGCTTGGCTTTTGAATATTAATGGTCTTTAGTCTACTTGAAAGAGGCAATGTTTAGAAATCGCATTAATTATATTTAATATAATATTTGAAAAGGTATGTTTAATTATACAAATTTTTTAAACATAAGTTTAATCGAATTCCAGTGATGTCCATATCCTCAGCTTGCAATCCTTCTGCCTAAATAAATACTTAAAGTATTTTTAAGATCTTCTGTCACTTTGCTTTAAACTTTTTCGTAGTTTCCTTCCTCAAGCGGTAATCTATCCGCTTCCAACACTATAAGCTATCGGCACCTAGTTTTTCCCAACTGGCTGCTGACGGTTCTGTCAGAATGAACTACAGTTCCCGTCCGGTCAAAGTGACTGACGAAGCACAAATCAGAAAACTTGTCGAGCAATTGGGTTGTAGATACCAAAGCGAAAAAACAAAAAGGAAAGCAGCTCTCACACAATGGCATCGAATGTACGGAACAATCCAAAGGATCGGGATGAAAAGCAGTGAGTAGCAAGGGGAAAAGCACTTCCTCCACATACATATGTACATATAAGACCCACTAGCGTACCCCATTTTCCAACCAAAAACCCCCAGCAATCAGTTCGTCGGCCCCATTGTCTACAAAAATGAGGTGCCCGGACCAGCGTTAGATTGCAAAATTCTACCCTGTGGCAAGGATATTCTGGAGTACACAGAGAAGCCAGTGGCATTGGACAGGCATGAGCCCCCCTTTGCGCATCATTTCAGGGGTCTTCATGAGCTGTTCGACTTCGATTTGCTGGATCAGTCGGTTTACGATAGGCCACCCAAGAGTGGGCAGCAAATGGATCCCAGGGATGCAGCTCTACTTGCGGATATAGAACCTCTGACTTGTGGTTACAGTAAGCCCAGACCAAGTCGCGCCCAGGAATGTGCTCAAATGTTTTCGAAGGAGCGGGATCAGGTGCCTCGTCCTCGCCCAGAACTAAAGCGTTTTGTTCCTGAAATCAATGCACAAAAGACCCTGTTACCCATATGTGTGGACGAGCAGAGGGATCTGATTAATAGCACCTTCGAGGAGATAAAGAAACCCATTCTTAAACATCCCACCAAACCCGACAGCACAGCACGCCCCTTGGTCATTTTGCCAGTTTTTCCCGATACAGAATTGCAGAACTATAGCTTCGTGCAAATGCAATTCGATATACCACCCAACGAGAATAACCAGAATTTAATCAAAGACTTTGGCAACTATCTGGTCAACTTCAGTATTCTCCAATGTGAGCCTGGCGAAAAATACTATTTATCAGATCAACGCTATAAGGAGGATAAGGGCCCGGATAACTTTGAGCGCGGCGAACGAATTATTCTACGGGAAAGGGATAAAGCCCTCCATTACGTAAGTGTGGATAAACACATCAAATTGAGGCGGGAACGGCCACGCCCCCAGGCCCTGGCCAACAAGTGTCTGCTGGTAAGTCTCAGATCTCGGGAAAACCACTTCCAAATTTATGCCAATAAATTTATAGACAAATTTCACTTTCGCAGCAGGTCAAACAAGTGGCAATAGAAGCAAAGTAAATAAGGATTTTATTTTTGGCTGGAGGGGATCAGAAACCTGGCTGCCCAAATCATCGCATGATTGAAATTCCTGGTGGAGAAAACCAACTGCCCACCGATAAAATAAAGCCATAACAAAATTGATATGAAATTCTCGCAAATTGAAAGAAATTTCAACTGAAAATACTTGAAACCATCGAGTTAATAAAAATGAAAATGCCGAGAAGATAGATTTCAGTTTTTGCTATGCTCTTGTTAGGTTTCTTGTGCTATAATTAAATATGAAAATATAGGGTTTGTGTAAAGATTCAATATAAGTATTCCTTATAGTTCATTTGATTGCGCGAATATAAATATTTTTAGAAAACTAATAAATATGGCACAGCAAAATGTTCTTGCATTCCAGACTAGAAGAACAAAAGAGCATCTGCTTCATTGTAATTCTCGCTTTGAAGGTAAGGCTGAAATGCCAGTGTTTGTTTATTACGGATTGGCTACGACTGGCAGGCAAAAGTTGCCAGGCAACAGGCTCTACTTGGGGTGGTATCTCCCTGGTGTCGACCACCACCACCACCCATCTTTCACCACCCACCACCCACTACTTTCTCCAAGCAGAGAGATGCAGCATTCTCGTCGCAATCCTGGCAAGAACTACCATGACGATTCTAAAACATTTCTATAGACTTGTCCGCACAAGCAAACTTATATATATTGGAGTATATGTATTTGCTGGGTAGAAATCTATGTGAGAAATAGACCATTTTTATGACGTTTCCTCTTAGCCACGATTTTTATTTTATATCTATTTCCCGAAACCCTCCCCGCCACTGTGGTTCACTGCGGAATCCTATTTCATTCGGCCAGACGCCTGGAATTTGTTGTGGCAGCGATTTGGCAGGAAAACCCATGCCATTCCCCCCATTTTCTGTGATGTCGCATGCAGCAGCTGTCGCTAAGGGAATGGCCAACCTGCCACAATTTTGTTGGCCAGAAACTTATTGGGGATTTGAACTGGTGTTTTTAGGGGAAAGGGGTAACGTCATCATGTACGATGGCTTAAATAGATTAGCCAATGCATTTCCTGCGGTCTGCGGAACTGTTGCTCTGCTCCTCTGGAGCAGGAAAATGCGAATGTGAAAAAGAGTTCATTTCGAAGGAAAAGCAAACCAGAAAAGGAAAAAATGTAAGGCTTTCAAATCAGCCGAAATGAAACTAATGTGCCGACATCAAAGGCAAACAAATTCAAGTGCATTGAGCCCGCAACAAATCAAAGACGCCTCGACGACCTTTCTCTCACTATTCTCCAAGAGTTTCCCTCTCGGAAGCCGTTTCTCTTGGCCATACATCAAAGCAATCAAATGGACCCAAGTGTATCTATCAAGGCGATAAGTAACACAAAAAGAAATTCAAATCTCGCTCAAAAGAGGCGGAACCCAGGAGGATAAAGCTAGGACGAGGGATGCAATGGGGGGAGTACACTCAGAATAATCCATTAAAAAAAGTAGAGGTCCATATTCAAAGGATGGATAAACAATGATAAATATGCTTTATTTGTTTTTTAGTTGATTAAGAGTACATTATATAATAAAAAATAACATTAAAAAAGTAGAGGTCAATGCTGAAGTGATGGATAACAATGGAAAATCTTAAATAATGCTTTGCTTTTTATTAAAAAAACATTTACATTAGTTGAATAAAAGTACATTAAATAATAAAATAAAAACCATTAAGAAAATGGAGGTCAATGCTAAGTGGTGGATAAGCAATGGAAAATATAAAAAATGCTTTGATTTATATTAAAATCCTTTAATTTTGTTGATTAAGAGTTCATTAAATAATATAAAATCCATTAACAAAATAGAGGTCAATGCTCAAATGATGCAAAAAACAATGGAAAATCTTAAATATTGCTATGGTTTTTATTGAAAAACATTTACATTAGTTGATTAAGAGTACAATAAATAATAAAATAATCCATTAATAAAATAGTGGTAATGCAGCAACTGATGGAAAAACAAAAGAAAATCTAAAAAATTGAAAGCATTTACATTAGTATTTTAAGAGTACATTTAGATTTTTAGGCATTCTTAAAATTATTTGGTTGGTAAAAAAAAATTTTTAAGATTGTAAAGTCAATATTTTATCGTATACCAACATATGATTATTTTAAAACAAATCCATTTTTAAATTTAAATAATATTTTTATAATTTTTAAAAATATATTTTTTATTTCCTTATGGTACACTACTTTTTTAAATACTAAGGATGGTTGTAGAACTACAAAGCCTAGGAAAATGTCTTGCTTATATTTATTTCTATCTTTTAGTGGCTGACTTGCCATTTAACATTCCCCTAACCCAACATATTTCTCTGCGTGTGGTGGAAAAGGCAACGAAACGATTTCATTTATAAATTGAGCTTCTGTTTTTTTGGCAGCACCTAAGTTACGAGAGGTTGCGACTGCCTGGCAACAAATTATCGCTCTGGCACCCAGCCATCGCCCCTGATCCCCTGATACCCCTGATCCCCTTGGTGGTCCATCGCCCAGCACATCCTTGACTGAAATGAACTCTTCGGGGTGTGTGAGTGTGTTTGCCGGGCTCAAAGAACTGACCAAGCAATTTGCCTGGCCCAAAGGCTAACCAACACCTCATCGCTCACACGGAGCCAAAGAGCCCAGGGCGAGATAAACCGGAGGAGGTGGTGGCCATGGTGGCCATGGTGGCCATGGTGGCGGCGGGTCTTGTCTTGGCCGGAGTGGAGTGGACTCTCGCCTTAATTAAACAGATTTGTTTGCCGACTCTTGGGCTGCTGTGTGTAGTGGGTTCTTTGGCCCGACCACACCCATCTAAACAAAGAGTGAGTCAAGAATTATGGCAACACGAAAAGGTCAAACCCCTTCTCGGTTTTCAATACTTATTGGCCATAAGCCCGCCTTCGCTCTTAGCTGACCTCATAAACATAAAACGTATATTCGAACGAGCTGACACTTTCCCACTTGCTAATCCTTAATTTGCAATAAAAAAGATTCATGATCTATATAACGTATATGTGTTTTTTGCTTTTTCTTCTCAGCTTTGTCTTTCACTTACAATATTTTACTGTCACCAAAATTACAACGTTGCTGTTTTTAGAAAAGGCTTTTGGAAGTCAATTTATTTACGTTTAGTGCCAGCAGATGGTGGTAAAAGTTACATGCCCTAAAAGTTGAGAGTTTCTTTTTCAGCTTCGATACTAAGCAGGTTCTCATGTTAAATTAAAATACAAAAATCCAAATGAAACGGACCTGAGTATCATAAATCACATATTCAAATGTGCTGCCAATATCAACCACAAAATAATCAAAAGCCAGTATGTTATCCTTCCTAAAAATTACATTGAAAATGCACCTTTTACAAAAGTCTTTAAAATACTCCTCAAAGATTTTTCGGGCTTTAGCTTAGAAAAATAAATATCTCAGACATACAAAAACTGAGGCAGTCTGTGAATGCATAGATCAACCTGGAAATTTTACAAAATTCCTCGCAGACAGCCAAAAAAAATACGCAAGCATAAATCCCAGGCAAGTGAAGCTGGCCATTTCGGGGGTCAAGTGTAAAGTTAAACAAAAACGCTTAGCAGGAAGGCCAAGAAGAAGGATGAGTAGCTGGCTTGGCCAGGATTTATGCTGCGACATTGCCTTTTGTTGGGGCTGGCAGCAATGTCCGCACGAATATTCACATTACACAGTAAGGACATGGAAAAAAAAAGAGGGGATGGGATAAGAAGGACCTCAAGTGCCAGCAGCGGCCAAAACGATGTCAAGTCAGAAATGGGAGAAAAAAAGAAACTAATTTCATAAGATGGTGTCAACTGCAACTTTTCCGTGAGAGGGCCCGTCCTCTTGGCCACCCCTCGAGCATTTTCTTCCACTACTCGAGTGCTCTCTGGACTGCATTAAACGGCCAAGGAAAGCCGAGGAAAGCTGAGGAAAACTGAGGAAAGCTGATGATGGCCACTGCTGAGAGCTAAATGCACTGGCAGATTACCGCAGGAAAAAATTTAAGTGCGGCATGCCACTGGCCACCCCAAAAAGACCCAACTCCCTAATGAGCTTCATGGTCCCCCAGTTCAAAACTCATAATCAGCACAAATTTTCACTCAGATCAGATACTTATGCACCAAAAAAAAATATTTTGCTGCCTGTTATAAACGTTTTAATATAGTAGTTTACATAATAAGCCGCCGAAATCACTAGGATTTGCAAGTAACATGTTTTTAAAGGTGTGTAAAAGTATGCAGCGATATATTTTAAGTCAGGAAGTTTGTTCCGAAAATACTTTAGGATCCTTTTTAAATATTTATAAAAGAAAATTTCACTCATATCATTTACATATGCACCAAGAAAAAATATTTTGATGTGTGTTGATATTTATTAAGGGTTTAATGTCATAGATTACATGATAAACCACCGAAATCACTGGGGTTTGAAAGTAACATGCTTTTAAAGGTGGCTAAAAGTATGCAGCAATATATTTAAAATTAGGAAGTTTGTTCCGAAAACACTTAAGGATCCTTTTTAAATATTTACAATGAGAAAACTTAGGCAAAGTGACTTACATGTTACTTGCGCACCATTCAATTACAGCTTAAATATTATTTCAGTGTATTCGCCTCAATGGGTTTTCGTTTGAAATCACAACATTCCATCCATTCAATCGCCTCAAACACGCGTTCGCGAACAAAGACAAAACAGTTAATTAAACCGAAAAAAGGGCCTTAATCAAAAGTTTTGTGCCAATTATTGTTGTTGCAAAAAGTCAGCAGAAAAAAAATCGATTCAATGCGTAAACGTTGCTGCCCGCAAAATTAAGAACTGTGAAATGTAAAGCGATGTAAGCCATATAACCGGCAGGAAAATGTTTTTTTTTTTACCCCAGCCATTGAAATTTCTTTGTGGAAATTTGCAATGTTGATTTCCATTATTTATGGGCTGCCCTGCTCTTGGGGTGCCTATTGAAATGCCCGAGGGTGTGCGTTGGGGGCAGAAGTGCGGAAATGGGGGCGGTGGGCGGCATTTATTTATTGACGAGCGGAATGGCATGTAAACCACAAATTAATTGGCTTGGTTAGACACCGCAACGGACCAGAAAGTTGCATAAAACTTTGCCGCCTCGATTGATTGATGTGGCCTGGCATTTGCCAG